CGGAGGAGGAGCTGGCGACCAGGATGTCGTCTAAATAGACGAAGATGAATGGCATGTCTCTGAGCGCCGAATCCATCAGCCGCTGAAAGGACTGAGCAGCGTTCTTAAGTCCAAACGGCATACGCAGGAACTCGAAAAGCCCGAACGGCGTAATTACCGCAGTTTTGGGGACGTCCGAGGGGTGCACCGGAACCTGGTGGTAGCCCCGCACCAGATCCACCTTGGAGAAGACCAGCTTGCCCGCCAGGTGTGCAGAGAAGTCCTGGATGTGAGGGACCGGGTAGCGGTCTGGCGTAGTGGCGTCGTTAAGTCGGCGGTAGTCACCACACGGTCACCAGCCACCGGCTGCTTTAGGGACCATGTGAAGCGGCGAAGCCCAAGGGCTGTCTGAGCGGCGGATGATGCCCAGACGCTCCATGTTGACGAACTCCGACTTGGCGACTGCCAGCATGTCAGGGTTGAGCCACCGGGCCCTAGCGTAGACTGGGGGGCCCACAGTGTCAATGTGGTGCTCTACGTGTTTGGCAGTGGCAGCGGAAAAGGTGGGCTGCGTCAAGTCGGGAAACTCACTGAGAAGGTGCTGGAACTTGTCACCCTGTGAGAGTGAGCTGGAGAGCCCGCTGAATGACGCCTCGCCGCGGGTACATGTGAACGAGGCAAACGTCAGTGCGTCCACCAGGCGGTTGTTCTTGACGTCCACCAGCAGTCCGTGAGCGCACAGGAAGTCTGCGCACAGGAAGTCTGCGCCGAGGAGGGCGAAGGAGATGTCAGCCGTGACGAAATCCCACCTAAACCGCTGACCCTCGAAGCACAGGTCCACTGTCTTTGTGCCATAGGTGCGAATAGGGGTGTCGTTAGCGGATGTCAAAGGTGGGCCGTGGCCCCCACCGGCGGCGTCCTCCACGGACGCTCCGCTGGGCTCCTGTGTCACAAAGGAGTCTGCGACCAGAGAGGGTGTCCCTGATGAACAGGAGCCGGTTGGACGTGCCCACGCTCGCGGCCACTACCGAGCGCAGGCCTTGGCGTTTCCCGTTACCTTGTAGGTGCAGGGGGGACGGCACATCTTCGCTTTCGCCCCGTAGCGTGCATGATAATAACACAGGCCAGGGCTGGAGTCGCTGACGTCGGCCCTGGAGCTTCTGCTAGGTGGCATGCCTGTACCCGGGAAGGTGCCGCTGTGTGTCGGGGCCAGCACCTCAGGGGTAAAACGCTGGGTTGCCAGGAAGAACCGGTCAGCCTCTTCGGCCAAAGCGCGGGGCTCGGTAATAGCCGTATTAGCGAGCGCTGTCTGCACATGCGGCGGCATGTGCCGAAGAAACAGTTCAATAAACAAAAAATTAGGCTCCTCCGTACCCAGCAGGCTGAGCATCATCTCCATATGGTCGGAAGGCTTGTTGTCCCCCAGGCCATGAATAGCGAGTAGGCGTCGGGCCCGCTCCGACCGTGACAGCTCGAACGTCTTTAGCAGGAAAGCCTTGAACGCTGCATATTTATCCTGGGCAGGGGGAGATGTGATAAAGCCCACCGTCCGGGTTGCAGTGGAGCTCCCCAGCGCCGAAACGACGTGAAAATAGCGCGCTGCGTCATCAGTAACTCCGCGGAGGGCGAACTGAGCCTCCGCCTGAGCGAACCATGCAGCCGCAGATGTCTCCCAAAACTCCGGCAGTTTGAAAAAAACTGCGTTATTTGCCATGTTCGGAACAGTCTCGGATCCTTCAACGAGACTTACGTAGTGGTCACCAATGTGGTGCCGAGAGACGGGAGTCGGAGGCGGGGTATCAAAAGAACAAGCTAGACTTTTATTTAGCATCTGAACTCACATGTCAACAACTTCATGCCCGGGAAGCTAAAACCGGCGGAAACAGAAAGTCCGGTTCACTAAAATGTCCGTGCGGAACAATACCCCAACCCATAGATCTGTGGGTGAATAATGTCAATCACCACACCGGCAAAAATCAACTGACTGTGAACGTGAAAATTAATAGAATATCCCCTCCCATCTTCAGAGCAATCTGACTATTATAACATTAGCGTTAAGAAAGCTTACTTAAATATCTGCCACAACATAAGTAACCGGATCAAAGTAACATTACAGTCCGCGGCACTGTGAGTGCAGACGTCGATGTGTCCCATTATCATTCATATCATATCACATCATAATGAATCATATATTTCCTTATTTGAGTCAGCTTCTTGAGCCGTATCTAGCCGTGCAACACTCACAGTGTCACATACTGTATGCAGAAGTATTATTTTAAGCAACACATTAAGTTGACGAAACACTCGAGTCAAATGTAATTAATTTTAGTTAATGTACGCATTCAAACGCTTTTTCTTTTACCAGCTGTATTCACCTTGCAGGTGCAGCTATGTGGCTTTTATCCTGGATAAAGTGTTTAAGTCATGGATGTTTAAAGTTTAACTTCTTCATATTTGACTAATATTAAAGTTCATTCAGGAAGTATGACGCTGCGCTGTCAGTACGCTTGTCCATGTTTGAGATTGGTCGAATGCTCCAAATACCACCCCTTTCATGTGAACGCGCACCTAACTAGATAGGACACGGCTGGCTTGAGCGATCCACTTGATATCCAGCGTCGTAGTACAGTTTAGCGAGAGCGCGTATGTTTTGGATTGGGCCAACCGGCTAACTCAAACATATCCAGGTTAGGTTGAACCAGCTTCGTAGTACAGGCCTCTGGTGTTAAGTCTTTTCTGGAGAATTTGAGGATCCTTATCTGCAAAATAAAATACAACAACATTACAAAGTACCACCGACTGCACCTATGAAAATATAGTTCACTATGAGAGCTTTCCTTTATGTATAAATAATAGATTTTACATCATTTCTTTTAAACAATAGTAGGGAAAAGAATTGTGCGACAACAGTACCTGTTATCTGAAAGAAGAGATACACCAGAATAAACTAAATCAAGGAGGTGAGAATAGTAAAGGCTGGAGTGAGCACCATCATCCAGGTCACAACAGGGTTCAAAATGTGTCCACCGGGGTGAGGGCATGAGCTGGAATCTGGAACTAATACATATCTAGATTTACATTTGAATTGTTCTCAGTTTGCCTCACAATTGAAAGATTTCATTTAGTAGATGAAGCTTTTTTTTAATACTGTCAATTAAGATAAATCGATTAGTAAGAACAGCATACTTACTGACATGGATCCTTGTTGAGATGTTGCCATGTGTGTAAATATCTGTGAAAGTAAATTGTTTGTTTTTCTCCACCTTCAACTGATTAGTTCCACAGTAGTAGAGCCCTTCATCGGTCTCAGTGATGTTAACGATCAGCAGGTCAAAGGACTCAGAGGAAGAGTTTCTCACAAAGTGGAAACGAGGTAGAGGATTCAGAACATGTTTTTCCTCCATAAAGTCTCTTCTCCATGCTTTTGGATTAAGGACGAGAGAAGGCTGGTTCTCATGAGAGCAGTTCCTGTACCACATGATGTATACTCCGGATGATAACTTGCAGTCACAGTAGAGAGTGATGTTGTCTCCTGGTCTGACTGTCATCTCCAACTCTGATCCAGAGGTCCAGTCATGAGTGCATGATACTACTACAGCAAAATGAAAGCAATCACAAAATCAAATATAAATGTGATGAGTGTGCATTACAACAGAGTAACACAGTGTATCCCACTACACTAAATGCAGATTACTGCTCATTACAGCACTGACAATGAACGCATTAATTTAATATAACACAATGAATAAAATATATTAAAACTGAATGAGTCTACCAAGTATTACCTAGCAGAATGACCAGAACAATACGGAGCCCTTCCATCTGTGATGATGACCTGATGAAGAAAAACGTGAAAGGTCTTACTGCTGGATGTACTGACCTGCCCAGACTTTTCTATTTAAGGACATGTCAGTTGTGATTGGCACGTTGAACTGAACACATTTTTTTGCGCTGGAAGTGGCCCAGTGTGAAAGTCACACGTTTGACACAGAGATGGGGGTTCAAAACCCGCTTGGGGTATAGATTGTGAGTGATTATTATATGTGTGTGTGGTTTCAATTGTCTGCTCTAAAAACAAACAAAAACATTACTTTAAACGCTGCTATCCCAAAAGCAGGTTTTGGAGATTTTTGCAAATTAAAAACATTGTCCAACAAGGAGGAAACAGGGAAGATGTGTTTAAAATGGGTCAGATCTCTCCTTCTGATGTAATGAACCACATAACCTCTCTGAGCTGCCCTAACTCTTCTCTATAGATAAAAGAGTATTGATAAATATAAACATAAGTAGAAGAAGCATTTTTTTTTTTTAACAAATAATGTTCTATCCAAAAATGCCAGAAGATGTTATTCAGACTCAACAGTGCAGATGAACATCTTGAATATGACTTTGTATGAAACCACTCTCTGCATCTGTCTGCAAACAATGGCCCTGTTGCACAGTGCAACCAGAGCTCGTCTTATCTGATCTAACAGTTATGATGCGTTCACTGATTAATTCCACCAACACCTTCAGCAGGTCACTATCTGCAGCTTCAGTCTCTCTGCATGCTGAGTGAGTGAGGGGATATTTTTCACTGTGAGTTTCCTGTGAGGCTAGTTTATTACAAGGTGTTACCTACACAATGTGGTTGAGGTTGGCTTGACTGTCATTGCTGTCTTGTAACTTCTAGTGAAAGGTCCATCCTTATTTATTTGAAATCTCCTTAAAAAACAAAAATACATGTTATTCTCTGTAGCAGAATGAGCCCCAACATAACACATATTTTGATGTGTATCAGACTCTACTGGAGGAGGATTGGGATTGATGGGTAACCTGAGATAAAAACAGGAAATAGCCCGAATACATCAATCATGTCTTGTCACACACAAACAGCCATCTTGGCCATTATGAAATGTTACAGTTAGATTTCTTCAGATTCAATGTTAAGAGTGAATCTGAAGCTGAATTGTAATCAACACAAACACAGGTTTTTTGTCTCAAGGTTTATTTTTATTATATATCAAATAAGTGGTGTCAGGAAATAAGAAATATAGTTAAGTACTACTTTTCAAAAATGGGGACAATGAGTGGCTATAACTATTCCGGCAAAATAGCACATACAATTTGATGTGTTTGTTCTCTTGTTTAAAGTGTTTACATCCTAGAAGTGTTGATGGCAGAATAGGTGACAGAACTCTGGGTTGTCTTCTTCTTTGGTCTCTGTGACGCCGGACGTATTTCTACTGCGGCATAACACACATCTTCATCCTTAAATGTAAAATGTGTTGTTTAGAATAATGATCATGTTCAGATTTATTGTCATGATAACTTATATCTTACTGTTACACCTACCTGATTTTGTCTTGTTTGAGGTGTTTGCTGATCAGTTTGAGGTTCTTCAGGGAAGAAATGAATAATTAAGTAATTATCACAGATATTTCTGATATCAAAAGCTAATCTTAAAAAGTAAGATAAACATTAGTTACCTTCTTTCTTACAGAGGTGATACACCAGGAGAGAGGAGAGGAGAGAGGACAGAGCAGCAACAGCTGGACACAGAGAGAACAGCAGCATCCAGCACACACCATTGCAGTCTTGTGGAGTCTCCTGGTGATCAGGCTCACTGGAGTCTAAAACAGCTGAATTAAACGCCACAATGTTTGTTTTTTTATTTTTATGAAAATAGTTTTATAACTCAGTGTAATACATGTTAAATTAAAAACTTAGAACCCAGATATGTCCAAGAATTAAATAAAATGGAGTTTTGGAGAACTCAATAAGCCTAAAGAAAAATTACATTGGCATTACCATTTTCTTTGAGCAAAGACCAATGCACAGGTTTCACCCTGTCAGGACCCTCTCATTTGTGTCTGAAGTTTATCAGATTTTTTGCTAATTCCACCATTATATGCGACATCTAACATTGTTTGAGCCTTTCCTCTCATATTTCTAACCCAACCATAAAAAAACGCATAGATAATCCTCAATTCCCTTTTAAGGGTGACTAACATGTACAGATACATGTGCCCCCAAAATGGGGTTGAATTGTTTTTGAAAAAGTCTATACACTATTCCACTTCAAGTTGGGTTTGTTGATGCAAATGTCTTTCATGTACAAAATGTGTTGTACGTGTGCTGTTGAATGGAATAATTTATATTATTTTTAGATCATCAATGATATAAGTGGACTCATAACTCTGATTACATTCAGTGCAATCAGCCATAGATCTCGCATGTACAAAACAAGAACAGCATACTTACTGAATTGGATCTTTGTTGAGATGTTGCCATATTTGTAAAGATGTCTGCGAGTAATGTGCTCTTCTTTCTCCACCTTCAACTGTTCAGTTCCACAGTAGTAGAGCCCTTCATCGGTCTCAGTGATGTTAATGATCAGCAGGTCATAGGTATCAGAGGAAAAGTTTCTCACAAAGTGGAAACGAGGGAGAGGATTCATTATGTGATCAGCGGTAGAGGATTTTGTCCATACATTTTTATCAAGGACAAGAGAAGGCTGGTTCTCATGAGAGCAGTTCCTGTACCACACGATGTATACTCCGGTTGATGACTTGCAGTCACAGTAGAGAGTGATGTTTTCTCCTGGTCTGACTGTCATCTCCAACTCTGATCCAGAGGTCCAACCATGACTGAAAGATACTACTCCTGGAAAACAAACACAATAGGCTCAGTGGAACAGGGTTTCACATTACAGCAGGGGCAGATTCCTCCTCCTAAAAACATAAAGAGAAGGTAAATACCAATTCTTTCCAAATGGATTTGTAATTAATAAATCAAAAATAATTACCCAAGAGAACATATATGAAAATGTGCAGCCCGTCCATGTGTGATGATGACCAAGAGTTAGAGCAAAACGAAACAGTGTCATGTCCTACGCAGACTTTTCCATTAAAGGAAGTATAGATGGTGATTGGCAGGTTGAGTGGAACATTTTTTTCTGATCTTGTTTTCTATTGGTTTGATGTGATCACTAGAGGGGATATAGTCCTAAAAAAGGATTAACCTCAGCGTCTAACTGAGATGTAGCCATTTACACGATAGATTACAGCCTAAAAAAACTTGCAGTAGTACCTTACACAAAGGACTTACACTGTATATTTGAATATTTCAGAGTTATAGACTTGGACATAATGATGCACAATTGCTACAAGTTGAACATCCTCCAATAGGACTAAAGTAAAAGATCAAATGCATGTCTTTACTGTGTACAGTAACAAAAGACTGCCTCATTTGTTACTATACTGTAACTTCTAACAGAGGGCATGGATCCCTATGCTTTTTCCCTGCTTAAATAAAACAAACGCGTCAAATGGATCATATTAAGTAGACCCTGCTCGAAGAAATGTGTTGAATCCCCAATTAACCCCTTTAACTTAATGGACCAGGAATCAAGACTTTATTTTGTTTATTCTTCAAAGTTCACAATTTGGACATGTTTCATCATCAGACCTCAACAATATGTACAATACAGGAGCGTTGGATTCGTAAAAACAACTTAAGTGTGTAGCCCAGAGTGTGCAGAGACCTTGCACATAAGCTGTGATCTGCTTGGCAACCACTGTTGTTCTGTTCTTATGGAAACACTCCGCTCGCCTTCCATAATGTCACCTGGTCAAAGAGTAAAGTAATCATCATACTGTAGCTGCTGCTTTGGCTACAGCTAATAGGAATAAAAGCACAAAAAATCATTGGCTCACAGATCGTGTTATTAATTAAAGAAAATGTAGGCTCATATTTGAATATAAATACTATACCAACCAGCAATGTGTATAGGTTTGGTGCAGTGTTACAAGTTTGTTTTGAGCTGGCTTAGCTGAGAGTTAGACCGTTATTGACTGCTGTAAGATATAAAACTGCTAATGTCTTCACTCATTTAACCATGGCTGTGGTTTTCTAAACCTTTTGTTTATTACAAAGGGTTGTATGCTATTTCAGCTAACGGCTTGGTTTTATAGTTCAACGGGCCACTAGTGTACATCTTCAATATGACTGCATAGGCTCTGCAGTCCTTTAATAGACATTAATAGATTTTGTAATCAGTTCCCAGAGCTTGAGACGGCCCAGTGTGAAAGTGGCTAACTCCAGGTATGGATTGTGAGTGATTATTATATGTATGTGAGGTTTCAATTTTTTGCTCTAAATACAAAAATCTGATCATTTTAAACGCTGCCATCCCAAAAGCAGTTTCATGTCGATTTCAACTTGCGAATTTCTGAATTTCAAACATTGTCCAACAATGAGGAAGCAGAAAACACACTTTTTAAGAAATATTTAACAAGCCCTTTGAAAAGAACAGCTTTTGCTAAAATGGGTCGGATCGGCCCCTACTTTGTTGAGCTCAGGATTTGATTTCTTTTTAATTCCCTTATAATAATTGGCACCTTCTTGAGTTCTTGAGTAGATAAAGGGGTAATAACATCATTGGGGTCATCAGGTGGGCACCCTCTTTCCTCAGTGTTTCGTTGATAGGCCCACAACATCTCCAGAGGGCTCAACGGTTTCACCTGGCGTCCCAGGTGAGCCCCCCCACACCGCTTTTACCCCTTCTGCTGGTTACTTTGCAGCCCAGATGGAATCTCTCCTTTTCAGCCACAGCCAGTTGCTACTTTGGTCAGCCGCTTCTCCCAGTGACTTGATGGCCTGTCGGAGTGCCTGCCCTCGGACCCCCATGCTTTGAAGAAGCCTAGTGGTTTATCTGGCTACAAAGCCTCTGCAGCCGTCCTCCACTGGGAGAACCTGTGTTTTCCATCCCCGCTGTACTGCCTCGGCTGATATAACCGAGTACTTTAAAAGCTTCATCGACTGCAGCCTCCCATTGTTCAGTTCATTAAACAATGTACAAGGACTTTGGTGAGGTTGAGCACATGATAGAATTGGAGGGATGAAACCCTCTTTAATGGTCACACATGCAGAGCACACAGCACACACAATGACATTTGTTCTCTGCTTTTTACCCATCCTAGTACTGGGTGCAGTGATCAAATCTGGCCTGAGATTGGTTGTGATGATCTCTGCCCGGTAGGTGAGCTTCTGATCTAGGTCAACTTGCATATCCCAGCTAATGTAGTATAACTTCTCTTTTCTGCCCTAACCCTTCTCCAGTAGAAGTCAGAAAAGTTTCACCTGCAGCCGGTGAGGCTAAAGTTCACAATCAGCATCCCCTCATCCTTCTCTGTTTTTCCAAGCATAACCTGTTTTGCAATATTCCCAGCCTCATTATTTCAATGTACTGTAGGTGTGTCTAAAGATAAATCAAGACTTGATTACTATGAGTTACCTTTGAATAAGTCAAAGGTAATTAAGTGAAAATACTATTTTGCAACAAAAGATCTTCCATCCGAAAATGCCACAAGATGTTATTCAGACTCAAGAATGCAGATAAACATCATAGCTTAAATATGACGTTGTATGAAACCACACTCTGCATCTGTCTGCAAACGATGGCCCTGTTGCAAAGTGCAACCAGAGCTCGTCTTATTTGATCTCACACAGTTATGATGTGGTCACTGATATGACAGATTCAAAAATAAACTGTACTTCTAAACATAGCTGAGGTTGATGAAGTTATACATAAATAACAACATCTAAGAAACTGACCTCTGACTTCAAGATTGTGGAGACTTTTATCATGTGAACAAAATCTACCACTTTTCAGAATAAACTTAAACATTGATCAAAAAACTAAACTCAATTCCACCAACACCTTCAGCAGGTCACTATCTGCAGCTTCAGTCTGTCTGCATGCTGAGCGAGTGAGGGGATGTTTGTCACCGTGGGTTTCCTGTAAAGCTTACTTTGAATTGTGTCAGACCACTGGTGAAGGGTACGTGGGGGCTGAAAACAGCTTTGGTGTCTTGTTGCAGGGATGGAATCATAAACGCCATTATGGAATGTAACTGATCGATTTCAGTCAAAGATGTGGACTGAAAGATGAACTGTACAAAACTCACATTTAAAATGCTTATTACAAAATAATACAAAGGTTAGGCATTGAGGCTCCACTGTTACACTCTACAAGACATTTTTACAAAGAGTGCTTATTAAATAACAGAATCGCCGGAGCCTACAGGTGGATGCTGGGGCAGAAAAGCAGCAGTGGTGCAGAAGTAGAGCAGAGAGAGATGGCAAGTCTGGCAGCTTAAAAAGAGCACCAGATTTAGGAGAACGTGTTTGGTTGGTGGTGAGTGCAGGCACGTCATGTTCATGTATCATTGTAGCTCATGTTGATGGCCTGAACTAGGTCGCAGGCTTCACTCACTCACTCACTCACTGCCATTGTTATGTTCTGTCAAAGGGAAATAATTTAACAGAAAAACGAAATAAATATCAGTAGGTGTTTATGTTTTTGTTAATGTCACATTAGATGTAAACTAAAGTAATGCTGATTTGATTGTTTTATTTTCATTTTGGAAATGTGTTATTGTAAGTGTAATTATGATGTAAAGTTCCAGCTGCTTTAGTGAATCAGTTTAAAACCTTGATGGCACATTGCGTCTCGTTCAGGCTCTTCGGGACAGCTTGCGCTATTTTGGTTTATTACTTCACATCTTACTCCATCAGCATTCCCCCCCCCTCACTCTGTGTACGCTTTTCAAGTGCTATCAAGTACAGCAACTCGATTAATGTTATGCTGTGTTCACACCGGACGCGATGCGACGTTTGGGGGCGGCGCGATTACATGTAAAGTCAATGCAGAGACGTGGACAGACGCGAATTCGCTCCGACGGCGTGCATGAAGCGGTGGACGCGGCGCGAATCACACGATTGAGGCGATTGAACGGTGCCGCATTAAACGCGAGAGTTCAATTTTTTCAACTCGAGCGTCAAATTCACATGACGCGTTCTCGCGGAAGCCAATCAGCGGTGAGGATCTCAGCCGCCGTCACTGACGTTCAACCACACAACATCAGCCGTTAGCTGTTAGCAGTTAGCACACAGAGCTCACAGCTCCTCATATCCGTTCAGAAACTGGACAAAAGTTAAACAAGTACAAACCACAGACTGTCTGTGTCATGGTGAATACAGTCGCTGCTTATTTATGTCTGTAGGCCGTTGTTATGAGTGTGGAATGAGCATATACAACGTTAGCTTAGCCTGGTCGACCCGATCTTCATTCAGAAAACAAGCATTTTAAAAGGTGTTTTGCCTGCCGTCTTGTCTGCAGACTTGTCAAAGCATTAATTCATGGTTGTTACTAACCGGTATCAGTATGTTGTTACTTCGGCATCATTTAGAAACGTGTATTACAATTTAATCACGGTAAAATATGTTCATTTGTTGTAGTTGTAGCTCCCGAGCCAGCGCGTCTTGTTTGAATGATGCGAGTAAACACAGCTGGCAGCCGCGGTGAACCTCCAGCGTTTAGAGCGATGCGATAGGAGCGATTAGAGCGAAGCGAATAGTCGCATCGCGTCCGGTGTGAACGCAGCATTATACAGGTTTATTTAAATAATCTTTGAGGAACAATAATGTAAAAACAACAACAACAAATACAACTAAATAATAAAACTAAAGACAACATTGGTGGCCACACATGTAAGCAGACATTTTTTATTTGAACAGTTGTCAATTTTACTTGTGGAATAGCTGGTACAACAATTACATTTAAATATTCGTTGCCGTTCAAATTGATTTGATTATTTGTAGGTATTCTTTTGTCTGAACAATTACAGACACATTTGAATAACCCTTGCACAAAAGTTATTGTTACCATCTACCATGCTGTACTACTGTAGCTAGCTTTTTTAAGTGGTGTCAGGAAATTAGAAATGGAGTAATTTAGAGAGTAAATATAGAGAACTTTGCAACGTATGAACTTGGAAAAATTTAAAACTACTACAAATGGGGCGAAGCCTGCAGCTAGTTCAGGCAGTCGACTCAAGAACCAATGAATTCAAACGTGACGTGCCTCGTCCCTCTTACAACCCACTAAACACATTCTCCTAAACCTGCCGCTCTATATAACTCAGATCTATCTGTCTCTGCCTCGCTAATGCTGCTGCTGCCTTTACATTGCTGCCTGCACCTGTAGGCTCGCCTGCAATGTTCTCTGTAAGTCTGTGGAGTGATGAGGCCCGAGCCAAGAAGCCAAACTCAAAGTATGCTGCTTCTAATAAACAAATCAAAGAAAAACATGAGTTTTCTGACTGAAATGTATTTTATGCACATTTTCTTACACATCAGTCATAGATTCTGCTTTGTGCTGTTGTTCAAACTCTTTACATCCTAGAAGTGTTGATGGCAGAATAGGTGACAGAACTCTGGGTTGTCGTCCTCTTTGGTCGATGTGACACCGGGCGAATTTCCAGTGCAGCAAAGCACACATCTTGATCCTTAAATATGACATTTGTTGTTTAGAATTATAATCATTTTCAGATATATTGTCATGATAATTGTATTTTACTGTTACACCTACCTGATTTTGTCTTGTTTGAGGTGTTTGCAGATCAGTTTGAGGTTCTTTAGCTGCAGAATTCAATACTTCATCATTACAGCATGGTACACTCACACAGTATCAAGAGAAGAGAATCATTGTCAATGAATTATCACAGATATGTCTGACATTACAAGTTCAACTTTAAAAGTGAGATAAACATTAGTTACCTTCTTTCTTACAGAGGTGGTACACCAGGAGAGAGGAGAGGAGAGAGGACAGAGCAGCAACAGCTGGACACAGAGAGAACAGCAGCATCCAGCACACACCATTGCAGTCACCGCAGTTTTGTGAAGTCTCATTGTGATCAGGCTCACTGGAGTCTAAAACAAAAAGTTTTGTCGATTAGCTTAATTCAGGGGTGTCCACATTTGGCCCCCGGGCCATTTTGAATCAGCCCTCAGCTAATTCAACAAATATAATGCAGTATGGCCCTCAAATGAAACTTGTGCTTGTCTTGTATTGTACTTCTTTTAACTCATTCCAGCAAATGCAATGTATGAATCAATATTGCTTGAGCCTGAAATAGAATCATCCCAAAGCTCACCATGCACAAAAATAAAGAATAAATACATATGGATGAAACATGCAGCCCCAGAATTAAGGAAATTATTTGTAACAATGTTTACAGTATTTCAGTACTGTACCATGCACATTAAGTCAATTGATTCCATACACTTCACTCACATATATATCTTGCAGGTACAAAACTGGAACAGCACACTTACTTAATCGGATTCTTGTTGAGACGTTGCCATTTGTGTAAAGATGTCTGCGAATAATTTGTTTTTCACTCTCCACATAAAACGTTTCAGTTCCACAGTAGTAGAGCCCTTCATCGGTCTCAGTGGTGTTAATGATCAGCAGGTCATAGGACTCAGAGGAAAAGTTTCTCACAAAGTGGAAACGAGGGAGAGGATTAAGTGCGCGTTCAATGTTTGTTAGTGTCCATACATTTTTAAGGACGAGAGAAGGCTGGTTCTCATGAGAGCAGTTCCTGTACCACACGATGTATACTCCGGTTGATAACTTGCAGTCACAGTAGAGACTGATGTTTTCTCCTGGTCTGACTGTCATCTCCAACTCTGATCCAGAGGTCCAACCATGACTGAAAGATACAACTCCTGGAAAACAAACACAATAGGCTCAGTGGAACAGGATTTCAGATTACAGCAGGGGCAGATTCCTCCTCCTAAAAACATAAAGAGAAGATAAATACCAATTCTTTCCAAATGGATTTGTAATTAATAAATCAAAAATAATTACCCAAGAGAACATATATGAAAATGTGCAGCCTGTCCATGTGTGATGAAGACCAAGAGTTAGAGCAAAGCGAAACAGTGTCATGTCCTACGCAGACTTTTCCATTAAAGGAAGTATAGATGGTGATTGGCAGGTTGAGTGGAACATTTTTTTCTGATCTTGTTTTCTATTGGTTTGATGCGATCACTAGAGGAGATATAGTCCTAAAAAGGATTAACCTCAGCGTCTAACTGAGATGTAGCCATTTACACGATAGATTACAGCCTAAAAAAACTTGAGTAGTACCTTACACAAAGGACTTACACTGTATATTTGAATATTTCAGAGTTATAGACTTGGACATAATGATGCACAATTGCTACAAGTTGAACATCCTCCAATAGGACTAAAGTAAAGGATCAAATGCATGTCTTTACTGTGTACAGTAACAAAAGACTGCCTCATTTGTTACTATACTGTAACTTCTAACAGAGGGCATGGATCCCTATGCTTTCTCCCTGCTTAAATAAAATAAATGCGTCAAATGGATCATATTAAGTAGACCCTGCTCTAAGAAATGTGTTGAATCCCCAATTAACCCCTTTAACTTAATGGATCAGGAATCAAGACTTTATTTTGTTTATTCTTCAAAGTTCACAATTTGGACATGTTTCAACATCAGACCTCAACAATATGTACAATACAGGAGCGTTGGATTCGTAAAAACAACTTAAGTGTGTAGCCCAGAGTGTGCAGAGACCTTGCACATAAGCTGTGATCTGCTTGGCTACCACTGTTGTTCTGTTCTTATGGAAACACTCCGCTCGCCTTCCATAATGTCACCTGGTCAAAGAGTAAAGTAATCATCATACTGTAGCTGCTGCTTTGGCTACAGCTAATAGGAATAAAAGCACAAAAAATCATCGGCTCACAGATCGTGTTATTAATTAAAGAAAATGTAGGCTCATATTTGAATATAAATACTATACCAACCAGCAATGTGTATAGGTTTGGTGCAGTGTTACAAGTTTGTTTTGAGCTGGCTTAGCTGAGAGTTAGACCGTTATTGACTGCTTCAAGGTGAGCTTCTGATCTAGGTCAACTTGCATATCCCAGCTAATGTAGTATAACACATAACTTCTCTTTTCTGCCCTAACCCTTCTCCAGTAGAAGTCAGAAAAGTTTCACCTGCAGCCGGTGAGGCTAAAGTTCACAATCAGCATCCCCTCATCCTTCTCTGTTTTTCCAAGCATAACCTGTTTTGCAATATTCCCAGCCTCATTATTTCAATGGAATGTAGGTGTGTATAAAGATAAATCAAGACTTGATAACTATGAGTTACCTTTGAATAAGTCAAAGGTAATTAAGTGAAAATACTATTTTGCAACAAAAAATCTTCCATCCGAAAATGCCACAAGATGTTATTCAGACTCAACAATGCAGATAAACATCATATCTTAAATATGACGTTGTATGAAACCACACTCTGCATCTGTCTGCAAACGATGGCCCTGTTGCAAAGTGCAACCAGAGCTCGTCTTATTTGATCTCACACAGTTATGATGTGGTCACTGATATCACAGATTCAAAAATAAACTGTACTTCTAAACATAGCTGAGGTTGATGAAGTTATACATACATAACAAAATCTAAGAAACTGACCTCTGACTTCAAGATTGTGGAGACTTTTATCATGTGAACAAAATCTACCACTTTTCAGAATAAACTTAAACATTGATCAAAAAACTAAACTCAATTCCACCAACACCTTCAGCAGGTCACTATCTGCAGCTTCAGTCTGTCTGCATGCTGAGCGAGTGAGGGGATGTTTGTCACTGTGGGTTTCCTGTAAAGCTTACTTTGAATTGTGTCAGACCACTGGTGAAGGGTACATGGGGGCTGAAAACAGCTTTGGTGTCTTGTTGCAGAGATGGAATCATAAACGCCATTATGGAATGTAACTGATCGATTTCAGTCAAAGATGTGGACTGAAAGATGAACTGTACAACAACTCACATTTAAAATGCTTATTACAAAATAATACAAAGGTTAGGCATTGAGGCTCCACTGTTACACTCTACAAGACATTTTTACAAAGAGTGCTTATTAAATAACAGAATCGCCGGAGCCTACAGGTGGATGCTGGGGCAGAAAAGCAGCAGTGGTGCAGAAGTAGAGCAGAGAGAGATGGCAAGTCTGGCAGCTTAAAAAGAGCACCAGATTTAGGAGAACGTGTTTGGTTGGTGGTGAGTGCAGGCACGTCATGTTCATGTGTCATTGTAGCTCAGGTTGATGGCCTGAACTAGGTCGCAGGCTTCACTCACGTATTTTACAACAACAATGGAGATCAATGTGCACATCTGATCAATTTTTACTTGTAATTGTGGAAGGGAAAAGTCACATCTATTTTGTAAAGAATACAATAATAAAGGAAGAATATAGCCAGTGTAAAATGTTTTCATGAATCAATTTCAGACAGTTGCGACAGTCCTAAATAATTAGGTGTATAATGGATGTATTGTTACTGCCATTGTTATGTTCTGCCAAAGGGAAATAATTGAATGGAAAACTAAATAAATATCAGTAGGTGTTTATGTTTTTGTTAATGTCACATTAGATGCAAAGTAATGCTGATTTTATTGTTTTATTTTCATTTTGGAAATGTGTTATTGTAATTGTAATTATGATGTAAAGTTCCAGCTGCTTTAGTGAATCAGTTCAAAACCAAGATGGTACATTGTGTCTCGTTCAGGCTCTTCGGGAACAGCTTGTTGTCTTCCTCATCCAGCGCTCTTTTGGTTTATTACTTCACATCTTACTCCATCAGCATTCTGAACAATTACAGACACATTTGAATAACCCTTACACAAAAGTTATTGTTACCATCTACAGTACCATGCTTTACTGTACTGTATGCCGGCTTTTAGAATGTTTTAAGTGGTGTCAGGAAATTAGAAATAGAGTAATTTAGAGAGTAAATATAGAGAACTTTGCAACGTATAAACTTTAAAAATGAAAAACTACTTCAAATGGGGCGAAGCCTCCGAGCTAGTTCAGCCAGTCAACTAAAGCACCAATGATACATTTAAACGTGACATGCCTTGTCCCTCTTACAACCAACCAAACACATTCTCCTAAACCTATATAACTCTATACTGCTCCACCACCACCCCAGCTTCCACCCCAGCACCCACCTGTAGGCTCAGGGGATAGTTATCTAATCATCACTCAATGTGCTATGTAAGTCTGTGGAGTGATGAGGCCCGAGCCTAGACACCAAAGTCAAACTATATGCTGCTTCTAATAAACATATCAAAGAAACACGTGAGTTTTCTGACTGAAATTTATTTAATTCACATTTTCTTACTCATCAGTCATATATTCTGCTTTGTGCTGTTGTTCAAACTCTTTACATCCTAGAAGTGTTGATGGCAGAATAGGTGCTGAAGTCAGAACTCTGGGTTGTCGTCCTCTTTGGTCTATGTGACGCCGGGCGAATTTCCAGTGCAGCATAACACACATCTTCATCCTTAAATGTTACATTTGTTGTTTAGAATTATAATCATTTTCAGATTTATTGTCATGATTATATTTTACTGTTACACCTACCTGATTTTGTCTTGTTTGAGGTGTTTGCTGATCAGTTTGAAGTTCTTTAGCTGCAGAATTCAATACGTCATCATTACAGCATGGTACAGTCACACAGTATCAAGAGAAGAGAATCATTGTCAATGAATTATCACAGATATGTCTGACATTACAAGTTAAACTTTAAAAGTGAGATAAACATTAGTTACCTTCTTTCTTACAGAGGTGGTACACCAGGAGAGAGGAGAGGAGAGAGGACAGAGCAGCAACAGCTGGACACAGAGAGAACAGCAGCATCCAGCACACACCATTGCAGTCTCGCATTACACCACAGTTTTGTGAAGTCTCATTGTGATCAGGCTCACTGGAGTCTAAAACAAAAAGTTTTGTCGATTAGCTTAATCCAGGGGTGTCCACATTTGGCCCCCGGGCCATTTTGAATCAGCCCTCAGCTAATTCAACAAATATAATGCAGTATGGCCCTCAAATGAAACTTGTGCTTGTCTTGTATTGTACTTCTTTTAACTCATTCCAGCAAATGCAATGTATGAATCAATATTGCTTGAGCCTGAAATAGAATCATCCCAAAGCTCACCATGCACAAAAATAAAGAATAAATACATATGGATGAAACATGCAGCCCCAGAATTAAGAACATTATTTGTAACAATGTTTACAGTATTTCAGTACTGTACCATGAACATTAAGTCAATTGATTCCATACACTTCACTCACATATATATCTTGCAGGTACAAAACTGGAACAGCACACTTACTTAATCGGATTCTTGTTGAGACGTTGCCATTTGTGTAAAGATGTCTGCGAGTAATTTGTTTTTCACTCTCCACATCAAACTTTACAGTTCCACAGTAGTAGAGCCCTTCATCGGTCTCAGTGGTGTTAATGATCAGCAGGTCATAGGACTCAGAGGAATAGTTTCTCACAAAGTGGAAACGAGGGAGAGGATTAAGTACGCGTTCAATGTTTGTGGTTTGTGTCCATTCATTTTTAAGGACGAGAGAAGGCTGGTTCTCATGAGAGCAGTTCCTGTACCACACGATGTATACTCCGGTTGATAACTTGCAGTCACAGTAGAGAGTGATGTTTTCTCCTGGTCTGACTGTCATCTCCAACTCTGATCCAGAGGTCCAACCATGACTGAAAGATACAACTCCTGGAAAACAAACATATGTAGTCAGTGTTTTCACATTAATGTAGGGGCAGATTCCATCTAAAATAAAATGAACATGTCAAAATGAATCATTCCAAATGGAAGTGTAATGAATTCATTCCAAAAATAGTATCAAAAGAAAAACCTAAGAGGATGAAAATGAAAATACGTGGCCCGTCCATGTGTGATGATGACCAAGAGTTAAAGACAAGTGAAACAGGTTTTACTCAGAGATATCACGTCATGCGCAGATATTTCCGTTAAAGGAAGTTAAGGCAATGATTGGTTGGGTTGAGTGGAAACATTGTTTCAGTTCTTGTCTTCTGTTGGTCCAGATATACGTGCTATTCTTGGCTTTGATGTGATCACTAGATAAGATATAGGCCCACAAAAGGATTAACCTTAGCATCAAACTGAGGTGTGGAGAAGTTAACAATCATCAAATAAGAC